CACGCCAGAGCGGTGGCGGTGACCCCGGAAAGGACGTCACCGATCCCGCCGCATCTCTTCAGGCCCCCCGGGACCGCGCAGGTTACCGTTCGCGCGCCGTCGGATATAACGTCCACCTTGCCCTTCAGCACCACCGTTACCCCGCCCAGATATCTGGCCAATCGCTCCACCTTCAGGGCTACGTCTGCTGCTGGCACTGGCGGGGCCGGTGGTCTTACTGTTGTTGTCCCCGCTGCTGCTGCTGCTGCTGCTGCTGTCGCCACATCTCCCCCTGCTCCTCTTGCCTCGCCAACACCCGACGGCGACTGCGACGCCTCTCCGTGTCGCGTCCGTTCCCCACCCTCCCCACCACCGTCACGCTCCATCCTCTCGCACAACAGCCTGAACTCGTTCGCGTTGGGCGTGAGGACGGCCAGGGGACAGCCTCTGATCGTCCCGGGGTCGTCCACCACCATCGCGATGGCGTCGGCGTCGAGAACCAACGGAAGACCCCGCCCCCTCGCGCTCGCAACGATCCCCGCGGCGGCGGCGATGACGGTGGGGTGGCGGCCCATCCCGGGCCCCAGCAGCAGGGAGTGGAGCTTGGGCAGCCTCGACGAGACGCTGTCGGCGATGGGTCTTGCTAGGGCAGCGGAGCGGGAATCGTTATCGCTATCGCCCTTGTCGTCTCCTCGCGCCCCCGTGGTCGAGCCGCCCGTGAGCATGTCGGCGCTGTAGACGGGGGTAACCTGCCGCGGCGGTGGCGCGGCCGCCGGACCTCAGGTTAGTCTTAGGCTGTTGTTGTTGTTGTTGTCGTCGTCGTCTTCGTTGATATTTGGCACGAACGGTTCATGTGTGACGCTTACCCCTCTGTAGGCACTGCTGTCTCCCTTCCACCCGGCCCGTCACTCACCATCAGTTCCGGGCTGTAGGCCTTGAGCGCGGGTGCCGCTTCCTTCGCCGTGAAGACGTACGCCAGGTCTGCGCCCATGCGGAGCGCCGACATGCTCGCGAAGAAGGGCGCTCCCGTGTAGTCCTCAGAGCCCCCGAACACGCCCACCCTTCCCAGCTGCACGACCAGCATCAAGACGATGGCATGCACAGAGGGAGAAGAAGAAGCACAACCACGCGTGAATAGATGTAATAATAGACGTTACACTAGCACAGGGCAACGCAGTTCCGGTTTTGTCGTGGAGTTCCCCACACAGCAGTGACTGTCTGCTGTTCTTGCGTAGATGAAGGCAGCACGGTACAACCCCGCCTGTCTTGCATGACGAATGTTTTCAGTGTATTGCGGGAATGAACCAAAATAATGGTGACCGCGGCACGACAGGGTTGAAGAGAGCAGGGCCGCAAGGGACAACGTGGGTGAGGAGAACGGGGGGGGGGGGGGGGGAGCGTTGCACGTGCTGCATCGTCTCCGCCCGACATTTTCTTCTTCCTGCAGTGCCTGCCTTCGACCTTTTAGAGCAGGAAGAAGCACGGTCGACACCTTCGTTCCGCTCGTGCACCCACACGACCAGCGTCCTGGAAGCTGCGGAGGATAGTCACACATGTGCTGTTTGTACCCAACAAACCATGGGTAGTCTTTCTGTGTGTATTTTTCCTAAACAACACCTAGATAAAACTCCTGCATACCTTCTCCCTGTGTGACCCCGGCTGGTAGGTCAGAAATGTACACCGAAAAGTGTGGGCTGGCACCAGAAAAGATGGGACGGACACACACACGCCGTCCGTGTGCCGTTCGTGTACCCTCTGGTAACTTGTAACAATCACGTGGAAACCTTGGTGTAGATTTGACAGTGCTGTCGTCTGGAGTTGCGCCGCACCCAAAACATGCTCGCGCAGCAGCTGCCAATCTACTGCCACAGCACGTACACATCAACAGGGCAGAAGCGTGGCAGGAGCGTACCCAGTGCCTCCAATAAACAGGTCCATGCTGACGCCACGTGTCTCAAGTATCTCTCGTTATGTACCACTGCAAACAGCACAGCTGAAGACGAGACCTTCAAATCGCCTACCGAATGCCGCTCACGATCATGCACATCGGTCGTTCTCTAGCCTAGCATTACAACTTTCAGTTTACCTGCCCTTTGTATCTGTCGTTCCCAAGCTCAGGCACGAGACGCTCCAGCGCCGCTGCTGGCTCCAGCGACCACGGCCCTCCCGTGGCCCTGGCGTACCTGTCAAGCTTATCGCTCGGACTGGTGCTGGTGCTGGTGCTCGTCATCATGACGACGGCTGATGTACGACGATGATGATGGTGAACGTCAATGTCGGAGGGTGGTGCAAACGCGGCCACCAGGATGGCGATTCCCCGTTGCACGGACAATCGAGGCGACAGCCGTGTGTGCCGCAATAACTGCATAGGGCCAGAGGCCAAGGAGAGACACAGATAGACGGACGGACAAGAAAGGGCAAAGCAGAACAAAAGACTGACTGGTTGCAGGCAGAGCCGGGTGCTCCGTATTTCATAGCGTGTATGCCGGCGAGGGGGGGGCTCAGAACTCGAAGATCCACCGCTGTCGATCGCTGATGATGTAGGTTGTGGCAACTCACAATCCCGCACAGCAGGCACGGGAGAGGATGCGCTGCGATTGGGATCATGAGGCGCGCTCGAGGCGGAGAGCGGTGGCAAGTCTTCTCGTCTTCGCCAAGGAGCTGGAGAGGGCGGGGCGGATCTCGAAAGCGAGTAAGGGCCTCCTGAAAGGTACGGTGCGTTCTTGGGTGACGAGTACAACGTCAAGCTCCGTGGGGACACCGGAGTATATCCATACATACCCATCGATGAGATCTTTCTTTTGTCATCGCGATCCTGTTGTGTGCACCCTGTTGTCTACTATCCCTTCGTTAGCTCTGATCTCTCCGCGATAGCTGTAGTCAGCCGGCATGTACAACGCCCCTGTCTCTCAGCAATTCATCGCCCATTTTCTTGCGCGCGGTTTGTTTCACCCGCAACGCGCATGCATACATGCTGCATGTGTGTGTGTGTGTGCAGAGCTGATCGTGCACGAAAACCTGGAGGTGATGTCGATTGGAGAGCGCTTGGCGAGGGTCGACAGTGGGAAGCACCAGCACCAGCAGGAGCAGCAGCAGCAGCAGGAGCAGGAGCAGCAGCAGCAGCAAGCCATTTCCCTGCACGTCCTCGACGAGCAGATAAGCAAGTACAGCAAGAAGACCGAGATGGTTGGTATGCACCCGGCGTATATATTTATATCGGCCGAGTGTTTCCGCCGTGGGATTCCAAACCGCGTTGTATGATATTAATAGGTACACCCGCTGCCGCGTCCTGGTTGGTATATTCAGCCATGCACATGCTCGCGAACACACTCCGCATGAAACCACTGGCGTTGTGCTTCCTTGGGCCCTTCATGGTCAGCCTAAACTAACTGCAGCAATCAGTTGCAACTTGTTGTGCAACACAACACACCGCGGCGTGTTGGGTTTATTGCTCAGGCATCAGTAGAATACAGGTGGGTCCTATAACGCTATGGGTTACTCGCGTATTTATTCTGGGTTGTCTGTGTCGATCGTGTCTGCATGTTATAAAAACGTAAGACACTAAACGCTTTGAGATACAAATAGTCTATGATAATGTGGTAAGACCCCACTGCTACTACTGCTGCTGTACGCCTTGCGTTCGGCCAGAGAGGCGAGCGAGCAAATCGCACGAGGAGCTCTTCGAGATCTGCCCGTTGGAGCAAGCGCACCTCCTTTCTCAGAAGGACACTGAGAACCTGGCAGACGGTTCTGACACCAAGGTGTGCGCTTAACTCGCCGATGCTGCATCTACAATACACGCGTATGCATACATATCCGATTGTACAGGGAACACCTACCGTACTCGTTCCATCTGTTCTGTACGACAAAATGGAAGAAGAGCCCCGCAAGGACCAGGGGGGGGGGTTGTCGCCATCGCCTGTCAAGATTATACGAAGTACGAAGCATACGCCATGAAGGAACTTTCCGACGCATCAGTTGTACGAGAACCCTGCTAGTTTTGGGCTTCCTCAGATTCCTTTTAAGACGGACAAGGCTAGAGACAAACACAGAGAGAGGAAAGTGAGGGGAGGGGGAGAGAGAGAGAGAGAGAGAGAGAGAGAGAGAGAGAAAGAGAGAGAGAGACAGACAGACAGACAGACAGACAGATATCAGAGAAGTCAGACACACGAAAAACAAAAGTTGTTTGCGAAAATGTGCTCCCCCGGCGGTGATCGGTCGTGTGGGAATAATGATCCGTCCTCTCGAGGACGCGTGGTGAACGATCTATCAGCTAAGGCATGTAAAACATGAGTACACCCCCCCCTCCCCCCCTCCCCCGTTTCTCAGTCCTTGGTATACGGCGAGATCGACTTCTGGTCCTTCTATGACGTCATGAAGATTGCCGCACACGGCATCTACACCGAAACACGCTGCTACGACGGGAAACGTCAAGGCGCGAGCGATCGGGAGTCTCCTCCTCGGCCTTCGTGTCGAGGGGGCAGTGAGGAGGAGGACGACGACGACAGCGAGGGCGGAGTGGGTATGGGGGGAGGAGCTGACGTTGAGGAGGAAGAAATGTGCACACAGGGAAGCGTCGAGGTGGAGGAAGAGGAGGAGGAAGAGGAAGAGGAAGAGGAGGAGGAGGAGCGTTGGCAAGGAAGCAGCGGGTGCGTTCAGGATGGTAGAAACGAGCCCCGCAACGTCGGCTGCGACGGCGGCAGCACGAACGCACCACGGCACGGGCTGGGGGCGGAGTCGGCGATGACAGCGGCAGGCAGCAGCCCTGGCGAGAGACGAGACGGAGAACGAGGAGGAGGAGGAGGGTTGAAGTTCTATGACCTTGGCAGCGGGTCGGGAAAGGCCCTGTTCGCCGCGGTCCTGGCAGTTGACTTTCGGTGAGTCCGGACTAACAAAAATGGCGGGTTTGTTTGTTCCTATGTTCATGCGCCAGTACGGAGCTGCACCTTGCAGTCCGGAAGGCTAATAGGTTTGGTTCATACATACGGAACCCGATTTGCAAGGGGATTGTGTTTTCGAGAGGCTGTGGTCAACTCATCGAACCATCATGGCTTTCCCGAAGAGTATGCATGTCTGTCGTGTTTGTAAGGGCGGTTCTCGACACAACCGCGAAGTTCTATATCTGCGGAGCCCCCCTCTTTCACCTGCACCTTTTGCGGTCCTCAACAACACCGTTTTGGATCGGGTCGCATTGACCCCACCCCACCCCCATCATTGCCCCCGTTGACAAAAGCTGCGCGGTAGGGATAGAAGTCCTAGCCGGCGTTTACCGCGCCTCGACCCGAGTGTTGAAGCGCTACCGCAGGCTGGTGGAGCCGGTGTTTTGCACCCCCGCGGACATCGAGTTGCGCAAGGTGAGTGACGAGGCTGAGCGGTTCGACGGTCCTTCTCTCTCGCTCCCCTGGACACACATGGGGGTGAACGTTTTTTTATCAAGCATGCTTACTCGTAGCTGGAGTATATTGTGCATGCAGGACGAGCGAAAGAGAAGCACGACATGCTTCCTTCCCCCAAGTAACCTCATCACACAACATCTTGGAAGCGCAGCTGGGAGCAGCGTGTAGGTGCTGCATCAATTGGAAACCCCAGGGCGCGAAAAAGGAAACACGATGAGTAGCTGCTGTTGAGGGTGGAACCATGTAAGACGTATCGACGCCGATCTCGAGCATGTCATACGTCAAATGATTTGAGTGCTAGATAGCATATAGCATATAACAGACGAAGAGTTACAAACAGAGCGTAGAGATTGTCGCCCGTGCGAAGACGAAAGGAACCTGCGTCCTAGTAGCGAGGCAATAATACTGCTGGAATTGAGTCTTGAGAGGGAAGCCGATGGTGGTGGTGGTCACAAAGGTCAGTAGCGAAGGGGGACAACATGGCAGACAGGCAACGGAGAAGCCCTCCAGGTCGAAAGATGTGACCCGCATCACTTGGGGAACGGTTTTTTCAAGTCAATCTTAATCTTAACCCAAGCAAAACACTAGCACCCGCCCCCCGCCCCCACTCCCATTGTATACAGATGCCCAACCCAGCACCGCATTACTCCGTGAAGCAACAACACATCCATCTCTCTTCGACTGTCTGTGCTTGTAACGGTTATACATCGAACGAGCAATGAGTCTTTCTGTGATTGCATGCACGCTATTTTCTAAAAAACAAACAGGGCTCTTTCCTGGACCCCGCGTGCGACTGGTCCGACGGCGACCTGGTGTTCGCCAACTCCACCTGTTTCGCCGAGGACACCCTGCTGGCCATCGCGAGAAGGGCCGAGCTCCTGCGGCCCGGGGCGCGCGTGGTGACGTTCACGACGGCCCTCAAGACCCTCTGGCTGAGGGTGCTCACGAAGAGGAGGTACCAGATGTCGTGGGGGCCGGCGACGGTATTCCTTCACCAGAAACTGAGGTGGGCCTCCCGGGGGAGTGTACTCATTTTCGTGCATGCCGTAGTCGTTAGGCCGTTGACCTCGCACCCATACACATGCCGGGACGGAGCGGTAGGTATGCCGGGCTAAGTTTCACGAGGATGAACCAAGAAGCTCGTCATCATCCTTGCGTTGGCTGTGCCGAACCACATGGGGGGGGGGGGAGTGACGCGTGGGACGGGAAGGCTTGTTGTTTCCTTGTCGCTTTCCGGTCTCTTCTCGTTGTGGGCGTTTTGACGTAGTACATAGTGTGATGGCGGTATGTATGCAAAAAAGGGGTGGAGATTACCTACCGCTGCGACATCGCGGGCAGTTCGTGGGAAACTGTGCGACCAAGCAAGGGCATACAACAAGAACAAAGTACGGCAATTTCATACAATATGTACCATTCTGCTTTTGGTCTGGGCACGTCGATCGTCATCACATTGGCAACTTCAACTGCAGCACACCCCCGCCCGTCTCGACTCGTTCCCATTCTTTAGTTGTCGTTTTTTATGTCGTGGTCGATCCCGTCGTCCTTTGTCGATGCCGCCCCCGTTGCTACTGCTGCTCTTGTTGCCTCGTGCACGCCGGCCACGTTGTTCCTCCTGTTGGCAACGACGTCAACGTCGACTACTACCAACAAACCCAACATATGTTCGACCACGGCGCCAAACGTCGCCAACCAACGATGAACCACCACGAACGAACCGATCCGATCAGCCGGGAGGAGTACGCCAGGCGGGTGGCGGCGAAGGAAAATACCCCTTTCGACGAGGACCAGGGGGTGGTGGCCCGGGCCGATACCCTTCCCCCGCGCGCCGCCCCCAAAACCAAGACCACTAGGGACAAGCTTAAGCCTTCACCATCACCATCATTGTCAACAGAAGCAGCAGCAGCAGTAGTACCGCCCCCCGTCCCTTTGGCGCCGGCATGGTCGTTCCCCTCCTCCCTGGCGGCGGGGGGTGCGGGCGATTGCTTCGGCGCTGCTAGCGACGACGTAGAGCGGAGGGGGGGGCATCGCGGAGACGGTGGCGGTATCGATGACGGGGAAGGGGAGGAGGAGGGGGAGGAGGAAGGAGGAGAGGACAGGTTTTGTAGGGGTTTTGGCGAAGGCCCTGGAGACGGCTGTGAGACGGAGGAGGAGGAGGAGGAGGAGGAGGAGGAGGAGGAGACCGGAAGCAGCGACGGCAGCAGTAGCACCAGTAGGCGTGCGGCAGGAGGAGACGCGGGGGGGCGAGGGGGGCGGGAAGAGGGCGCCCGCCTGGCATGCTGTTCGTCCTGGCCCCGAAGGCCTTTACACTGCTAGATTGTACAGCCCCCGTGGCGGGTTCTGCGCCACACGCAGCTTGCTTGGTAGCAACACGCCTTTGTTATTAGTTTATTTAACCTTCCTCTTTGTGGATGGGTATGTGGTACTTTCCAGTGCCGTCGTCTCATTGTTTTGTTTTTGCTTACCGTGGCGCGATCACCGGCCACACGGTGCGTTTATCCCGCGAAAAAGGTGCGAGAGAGATGGATGCGTCTTGCCTGACGAACGCGCTCCCATTGTCGCTATCGCGGGAGAGCACGGAGAGATGCACCTGGTTCGTCCCGCGTTAAGAAGAAGCGAGGACGGGACAACAAGGGCTCACGGAACATCACTCGACACACACACCCACCCGGAGTGCAACTTTAGTTTTCCGTTGTGCCCGGCCATTGTCTGATGGTGCGTCTGACAGGTATTCCGTGGTGAAACGGTAATACAAGGTATTCCGTGGTGAAAACGGTAATACAAGGGGGCGTGTGGTTGTGGCTTTTGCTCAAGCAACGTCGGTCTTAAAGCGTGTGTAAGTGTGCGACATGTGCCATCCCGTTTGTTCTCGACGTTGATGTTGGAACTTTTCCGTACAGCGGGGGGGGCCTTTCGGCAACGCCGGCATGTGCGGGGCGAATCGACCGGCGCTTTTCAGAAGGACCGGCGCTACATCAAAGCAAATAATTACTTGCTTGGTGATTCAGTCTGTGCCCAGTCATCTCGCCGGCGCTCTGTATACAGGGGCATCGGCGCTATTCAACCGGCGTTATTGAGTCCCTCCCAATACATGCTTCTCGGACACACCAGCCGGGGCCACACAGACGACGGGAAAGCCTTTTCTTTTGCTCCGCCTTATCCCTTCCGCGGTGCTTGCTTTGGCTGACGACCAAAACGCACGAAAAAAAAAAAAAAGCGGTACGAATCTAGGTCGTTTTGTTTTTCCGGGAAGCACCCGTCCATCCGGACATGCTGATACTTTTTACACAGGGGGGGGGTCAACGTGCCAACGAAACACGGCGGTACATACGTACATACACCTTTTCCCCGTATCGCGAGCGCGTGCTCGTCTGCACCCTCTTAAGACAAACCACCGTCGTTCTTGGCTCTCGCCACCACACAAGGTAAGCTCTTGTCTGCCCCTCCCGGTTTGCCGTCCTCGCCACCCTACAAACGAAAACCGACTTTCCTTGCAACCAATTTCCTACACTCTGTGCCGTCCCTTCGGAAAAGGCAGAAAGAAGGTTGCGTTGCGCGCTGACGACGGCATGGTTCCCAACGCCTAAAGCGCGGTCGCAGGTATGCAAGCACCGAGCACAGCAAAACATATGCGCGAACCCGATATGATTGTAGCGAGCAGCGACTCCTCGCAACGAACATCTGCAGGACAAAACAAAAAAGTCTGCCAGCTTCCACGCCTTGCCTGTTTTACGATGTCTTCGGCGCGCGTAATACAGCAAAGGACGCTGTCGCATCTCGCCCCCCCCCCCCCCCCCCCCGGTTCTTGT